CCGTTCATGAGTGCAGACTTTCCTTTTGCCATGTTGGTTCACTAATGTTTGTTTTAACGCATCATTTCTCCATACCCATTGGCTACTTGGTGTTGTTGCTTTTGCTTTCAGATCGAAGCCATACTCTGACGCTATCACTCACTTTACATTCTTTGTGTGCATTTGATTGATTCCTCGTTTGTTCAGTTCTTATTGGCTTTACTTGTCCGTACGCTGGTTGACTTTCACGTTTGTGCGTTACGCAATATAACCAAGTGTTTTCCTTATGTAATAGAACCCTTGCATCTTTGTTCCTGGTCGTTCGTGTTCTCATTACCGTTAGTGGGCGGAAGCATTCGCTGGGGTGCCGACACAGCATTTCTGGCGACCGAGGTGGGATGTTCCAGTATCATTACAGCTAGATACAGCGTCCGACATCACCATGATTTCCCGATCGACATTCGCTAAGCTGGGTGAACCTCCAGTCAAACATACAAGTCTCACTGCTCAAAGTGCATCAGGAGAGCCGTTGTCGCTAGACGGAGAAATTGGCTGTGAGCTCAAGTACACAAATTTGAAACTCCGTGGCATTATCTACTCCGTTGATGTAATGGATTGCGCATGCTTTGGGCGACCAAACGCAGCTCCTTTACTTGATCTGAAGAGTTCGCCACTCGTCTCTTCTCCTCCATCATAAGACCACCACTGGAGTACGGCTCATCTGCCTACTGCACAATCAGTCCGGGCGAGCCACATAAAATCGAACGGGTGCAACACATTGTTACCAGACCCATTCCAAGTTTACGAGAATTATCGTACGAAGACCGTTGCATTAAATTAGATCTGTACGCCTTGTCCTATCGTCGGATGCGAGCCGATCTCATCTTGACCTACTGTATACTACATCTCGGTGACTACTACATTTTGAGGCCGCTGCTTAACTTGCGAACGCCAAGCAACACACCGGTACAAGCTTTTGGTACGGGATCTAAAACGAATATACCCACCACGTGCTTCGTAAGAAGACTGGCAGATGTCTGGAACAGTCTACCAGAACAAATGATGAAGATTAGGTCTGTGTAGCATTCCAAACGTTGGTGAATTTAGATTCCACCACCATCCGATTCAGAGAACGATTACACATTGACATTGATATCTTGCATTTGTGAACCCAGCGAGACTGTAAGTCAGACATTTTGAAATATAGCCTTAGAACTTGAAGAACTACTAGATTATCACGGATCGCAAACACTGTTTATTGCACATATGCTTATGTTGCGATGGGTTGTACCGACTTTACTTTCTATTTGCTCATATGAACTATTCTGTATTCACATCTGGCTGGATGACATGCTGAGGTCCATCAACTAGTGTTTGGAAGTCAATCCCCCGATACCCCACTGGGGTGTTTAATGAACAACTTTCTTTGTTTACGTCATGTCATTCGTATGCACTCTTTACTGTCGCTTCAGCTGATTGGATAGAACCATAAGATAGCGAGTCGATGAAGTTTCATATAGCATTGAGAAATTGACACGGATCTGGTTAGGCCGTACATCTTATGCTGAATCAGCAATGCTGCTGCATTTGACCTCTTGCACTTGGATATTAACTTTTCAGCCCGCTTAAAGTACCTTTTTCCTGAGCTTCATTTTCTTCGTATTCTCCCCACTACTATGGCAACGCAACTTATGATTACTTGATCCACCAAATTTTGGCTCTCATTTAACTTCCTTGAACGTGTTGACAACCGTCTTTTTTTTGCCCATTTTCTATGGTCTCTTGTCATTTTTAGGTCAGCTAACTAATTCTTTCACTAGCTCTTCTGGCTCATTTATAATTGCGTTTATCTTTTGTACCGACTCGACCTTTTTCGCGATGCATTGTCACTACGGTACCCATCTCAAATAGCCTTTTGAGTTCGATCTTTGTGCTTTTCAGCGCAAGAATGCGCTAACGTTGTTTTGTGATTTGCCAACATTTCCCATTACGTACACCACCACTTTATGTGGTTTACTGTATGTTGTTGTTTACCCCATTAGTAACATATCGAGCTGCGGAAGCAAAACGAGAAACAAATCATGTTTACATCCTTCGTGCTTAGCGAATATTCACGCAGTTTCATGCGCAACCGAACCAATGACAACAAAACGGATCGCTTCTTCTTACGTCATGGACGTGTCAGAAATGACCGCCCGACTCCTCAAGCCGCATCATTTGATGTTCGCTCACATACCAACCACCATTCTGAAAAGAATCCAGTCTAGACTGAAACGGAAAACGATAGCACACGAACGCCGAAATGTTGTTTACAGAATGCAGTGTAGAAATTGTGATGAACACTTTGTGGACCAAACGGAGAGGATATTATCTACAAGGTTACAAGAACAAACACGAGCCTGTCAAAACCGTTACTCATCATCACTGGTCTCGACACACGTTAATGAGGAAGGGCACATTTTTGACTGAGAGAAAATCGAGGTCCTAGCGTAGGAAAAGGAAGGGACTTCTTCGAAGAGTGGTTCTCTATGGAGAATTCATTAAACCTGCGCATTGACTTAGATCCGGCTTACCAGCAACTGCGAAAGAATTAAGGCGGGTCATTCACCACATGAGTCTAAAAGAGGCGACAATCGAACTGCTAACTAGTAATGGCCACGGGACGTGAATCGAAGTGTCCAAGTTCAAAAGTTATTCGCTCGTCAGTCAAGGGTAAACGAACCATTCAGTTTCCCCACTACGCAATGGCGAAATCACCTCGACTGTTGATGGAACATCCGCAACAGAATTATTCAGCTCAGAGAATAGACCAAAACCTGAACAGACAACCCCAGCTATAGGTATTCCGAGGTACTGCAAACTACTGAACTCGTTATGATCCATTGTGTGCTGTCTGTCTGTCTGTCTGTCATTTTCATGCCCTGGTGTATTTGCAACGGTGACTTTCGTAGATGGGTCCACAGTATTTCTCTTTCACTGTGCACACACCTGAGATATTGAAATAGGACGTTTCTGGCGTTACAATATTGTTCAATCAGTATCTTCTCTTCATCGCAGTCTGTTCATTGTAACGAGGCCCGGTGACACTAGGCATCCTTTGCTCATCGTTCTTTCCATCGACCATTGGCGCTCCATGATTTTGTCATGTCGCTGGTATGCTTGTACGCCACCTACTTCGTCACTCACTGGATTCATTTGCCGTTTCTTTAGTGGATTCTCATGGCAGTCGCATTCTGAGGTAGCGAAAAGAAGTGCAGTAGATATAGAAACTTAGTCTGTATTACAGGGTGCTTCGAGGTAGATCGCGTCAGTGGCTGAAGACTTTTTTGTCTCCTTCCACTGGTCGTTTCCGTGATGTTTTGTCAGATCCCTTCTATCCTATTGTCGGCTTTCCCAGTGAAGACTTCTAGCTTTTAGTTTGAAATCTTGTTTCAAAGATTGTTCCTCTTGTGTCCTTCCCCATGGCCATTAGTCTTTACATGGCGGTACAAGTCAAGATGAATGTGTTCGTTGCTCTGACCATTTCAAAGCTGAATACTAGTAAATACATGCGCACCCGGAGTCTAGATGAAGGAAGAGGGGGGAGGCCAAGCGATGACTTGGACAAAAGGAATGAAGTCCCTCACTTCGAACCTGGCGTCGGTTGGTATTTCCCGACTGCCGGGCGGGGGCCAAAGGACGATGAACATGTTGGGTTGGATACACTAGCTGACATGACGAAGAGCCGACCTCAGTGGCGTTTGTGTTGTGAGTCCACTGTCCCTGCCCTTTAGCCTCCCATTCCAACAGCGGTCTCAAACCCTATACATAATGTGATATTTAGCATTGTTATTTTTTTATGGCTTGCTTAGTCTGTATTGTTTTATCTTTTTTGTATTGCGGCACATTAGCTGAGGTGTGCCTCTCACCCTCGACTATCGTGTATTGATGATGATGATGATGAGGAGGAGGAGGAGGAGGAGGAGGAGGATGAGGAAGAGGAGGAGGGAGAGGAGGAGGAGGAGGAGGAGGAGGTAGGAGAGGAGGAGAGGAGAGGAGAAGAAAGGAGGAGAGGAGGAGGAGGAGGAGGAGGAGGAGATGAGAGGAGGAAGGAGTAGAGAAGGAGGGGAGGAGGAGGAGAGGAGAGAAGGAGGAAGGAGGAGAGGAGGAAAGGAGGAGAGGTGAGGAGTGAGAAGAGAGAGGGGGAGGAGTGAGGAGAGGAGGAGAGGAGAGAGGAGTAGAGGAGGAGGAGGAGGAGGGAGGAGGAGGAGGAGTAGGAGGAAGGAGGAGGAGAGAGTGAAGGAGATGAGAGAGGAGTACGGAGAGAGAGGAGGAGGAGGAGGAGAGGAGGAGAGGAGGAGGAGGAGAGAGAGAGGTAAGAGGAGGTGGAAGAGGAGAGAGAGAAGGAGGAGAGAGAAGGAGAGAAGGAGAGGAGGAGAGAAGAGAGAGAGAGGAGGAGGAGGAGGGGTGGAGAGGGGAGGATGGAAGAGAGAATGAGAGAGTTGGTAGAGAGAGTTGGAAGGAAGGAAGAGGAGAGGAGAGAGTGAGAGGAGGAGGAGATGAAAGAGAGAGAGGAGTAATGTTTGGAGGGGGTAAGAAGAGGAGGAAGAGGTGAGGAGTGTGAGTGATAAAAGTTATGTGAGGTGTTGTGGGAGAGTGAGAGATTGGGTGTGGTGGAGAGGAGGTGAGGGGGAGGGGAGAAAGATAGGATGGTGGTGGTGATGAGGAGGAGGATGGTGATGGTGGTGGTGGTGATGATGATGATGTTGATGACGATGATGCTGATGGTGATGATGATAGTAGTAGTAGTAGTAGTAGCCCACTTTCCATTTATTAGTAGTGTTATACGGTCGAACCTGTCTAAAACGACCACTCAAGGGACCGACAAAAAGTGGTCGCCAGGGACAGGTTCCTGCAAAAATGGACATTACTCATACGAGAAAGCGTTGAGAGTTTTTGGCTGGTCGCCATACCATGTTGGACTGTACAATGTATCTGATACTGGGACATTGTGGCACTTCATTTGACTTTCTGATCTGCAGCATCTCCGGGTTCCTGTTGTTCGTCACAATCGTTCTGATATGCGAGGTAATGTTTCTATATCACATACATTTCGTTTTCAAACTTTCAAAGTAAACCTGCTTTCTTCCTCCATTTATCCTGATCACTTCCGTCATGTTACTGCCCTACTGTGACAGCTACAAGCAGCCTATGTTATGCTCGATTCGTTAGCTAAACTACAGCTCCGGCCCTCATCGCTATCCCTTACTCGTCCTTTTTTCGACTTTTGGCGCTTCAGTAAACTTCGGTCACAACGCGCACCTGATGTTGGTTTCACGATCATTCACTTATTCGCACGTGTTTTTTTATTATGCCCCACTGCGGATTTAAGGATTGATGTGTGGGTTTGGTCAATTTCATAAGCGATTTATCACACCTCGACTTGGCTAGATAGCGTCTATGTGTCTGAAGAAGTGTCGGGCAATGGTTCTATCTCCTCGAAATTCCTTATCTGGGTGCACTCCCCTAAACTTACACGGATCTTGGTCAGGTATCGCTACTCTTTACATGCTTAACGGTCGCTCCGGGCCACTGGAGACAGCAACTATGACACAGCGCGGTTCATCCTCCACTATCACGAACTTCCGCAGGTTTGAGATTTAATGCCAGGTTTCTTCTACTGGATCCCGCATCATCCATTTCGAAAGGAAAGAACGGCGGTTCAATCCTGTTCCGGATATATCGTTGCCATCTGACAGTGAAATTTTGACAAGTTTCTGCCGTACTTACCTGGCTCCTCTGTCTCTGATTGATTAAGTTTTTTTGCGTAACTGCCTTTCATTTAATTTTGCACACCTTATCGCACTAACAACCTACTGCATCGAGTTTGTATGCATGTAATTTATACTCACCATTGGCATTGTTTTAGCTCCAATTCAACCTTATCTCTTTCCCCACTGTAACCGTCTACTTAATGCCAACTTGAGCAAGTTGCATCATCCGTCTTACGGTCGTTCTTGGCTAACCGCAATCTATCAGTTGTCTTACTTTGTTGTCGAAAGTCGAACCATTCATCCGTAGCCAGTCAATCTTTGTTCCATTTCAATACCGAATTGACAGACGTTCTTTCTCAACGCACCTGAAGCTTCGTTAGGCACCGTAACGTTACTATCGGTTCCAGTACGCACTTGCAATTTTCGCTTCACCCTATTTCAGCGTCTGATTGTGCTTCGGACGTTTAGTTGCTCCAAATAAACTCGATTCTCTACTTGGCTTCGTGTTTTGCGCACTATACCAGTGTGACTTGTGTTCCACAGTATACCCACGTGCCTGATATTCAGATGCCATAAAGGCCTGCAGTTTCTTGTCCTCATTTTGCATGTTATACGTTGCCACTGCCTGGTCACGGTCACAAAGTATAGCACTAGCATTGAACATTGCTCTACCCGGTTTCCACTTCTTTGGTCGCTGCATTCTCAATTGAACATATGTCCTGAACATTTATTCACCTAGCGCATTTGAAGCCTCGGCCGAACCAGTTCTTACACCATTAAAAGTTATTTATTCTAACAAATTCATGGGTTCCTTCATTTCGATACCTTCAGATTATTCGACCCAGACAAGCGTTTTGCAGCATTCCTGGTGGTATGCTCATTTCAGCAGATTTTTGCCAACTTGAATTGCGTCTTCTGGCACACTTCAGTCGCGACGCTAATATTTTGAGCCTTCTATCCGTACCGCCTGCATCGGATGGTGTCGATACTTCGTCCGTGATGCCTCCACCTCCCAATCACGATGCATTCCGCAAGGTCTGTTCCAGTTAACTCGTATCCCCACGACGGGTCTCTTCGCATCCGTGTCTTTGTTGTCTATCCATATGCTCAACGACACACGATGTCTCGAAGAACTCCACTTGTACCCTGTATGTGCTCAAGTCAGTTTATCTTCCTCTCTTTCTAGCTGGCTGCTCATTGGCTCAAGTTGCCATCACCCGACTCGGTAACCTCTATTCAACGCCAACAAGCGAAACAATTGTGCTACGCCCTTGTTTACGGTATGAGTGCACGTGGTCTAGCCGCACAGCTAGATATTCCTGAGGCTAAAGCGCAACGATTGATAGATAGTTTTCTGCGTTCTTTCCCCGGTAAGTAAGCTTCCCTTTGTACGCAGCACGCAAGGCGTTCAACATTCGTCTCCTTCAGAAACTCCTTCTATTCCTGCTGTTTTACAGGTTTGCAATGCTTTATCGCCGAAACCATTCAATCCGCACGTCGTCTAGGTCACGTTACCACGCTTAAGGGCCGGGTACGTCTGCTACCTGCTCTAGTCGACACAGCTACACCTTCAGTGGACGCTTCCGGTACTCCGTTCAAAACGCCTTTGATTCAAGGCCGCTCCGCTCAGATGCGCCAGCACTGTTCCGCAGCCAAAGTGTGTTTTTCGTTTTTGTGCGTCACATTCGTACCCAATTTCGTCCGTCTGCGCTAGGCATTTCTCATTTGCTTCCACTTTGAAATCCTATAAATTGGCTCCCATGAACCATCGCAGTGCATTTCGTGCGTCTTCCTGATTGACCGCGATCTCCGCTATGAATATCTGGCAATTTTTTTCTGACTTCCAAATAACTTTTATCTATCTCAAATTTAATCAATCTGCATATTAGAGTATCGGCACAATGACGATCATCAGCAAGCCGAATGTTCCCACCTTATAAAATGAATCAAAATAGGGCAAGTATTAAGTGCTTTTTCGGTAAAATTCATCAAAGTCAGGCGCTTACGTGATAGGGGTTACATGTACCAAATTGGGTTGACCATTCATTAGACTGCTTACTCTCGACGGCCAAATCGACAAATTGTGCTATCACTGATGTCGATTGATTAAAGACAACCGTAAATCGCTTTCACAACAAACCGGCGTAACGAACCTGGACCTAAACGCGGTGCGACGGTTTGTGTACTTTGTTGACCCATTGAGCTGTAATGGGTGGGCCCCTTGAGAGTTACTCCGGCCACGTTGGTAAGTAGTTAGAGGTCAGTCAATCTCAGTCTCCTAGTCCTCCAGGATGGTGGGTTGAAATGGGATGGCATGCATTTCTGTACAACTGAATCGTTGCTAGCATCCCCATGACTTGCGGACAGGCTGTTGACCCGAAGGCTTTGGTTGAGGGCCCTAATCGTCCTCCTGACTAGGCCTGGGGATTCATAGCAGTATCTCAGCTCACATACAACCATGACTACATTTCCAGACTCCAACCACATCCTACATCGCTTGTTGTACAGGTTATCAAGAGTCGCCTTATTTGCTGCATACAGCAGGACGGATAAGTGAAAACATGCTACTTCTGGCACCTCTCCTTTTTCTTTTGCACCTGTTGCTCTTAATTCCTTCTCGACTCACATTACTTACCATTTTTCCATAGTTCCCAGCTTAACTGACAGCAGACCCAACGCCACTGGAGTTATACCATCTACATCTACGTTCCTTCACCACCCATTGTACCCCCTATCGGCATCCGCCCCATCTAAGGCCATGATGTCCCGTTTCATTGGCGGCGTTTAATGTTCGCACTCCAAGACAAATAAGTCAACAGGCTGCGGTTAGCAGCCTCCGGTTGATTTTTCTTGGCTGTTAACAAGATTATTTTTTAATGTTTACATCCCAGCAGCTCACAAGCTACATAGCTCAGCCACAATCCGGAAAAGCACCAGATGCGTTTCACCCCATTGGGGCTCGTCAGTGGTGCGCATTCCCTCGGTCCCCTACTGAGGATCGAACCCATGACCGCTAGAGGCAGATGCCAACAGCTTAAGCCACTGAGCTATGGGGGACGATAGCTGGGTTACATAATTTGCCAACCAACTGGGATAAAGCACAGTCTAGCTTCCACTGCCATGCAGGTTACTACTCTTGCAGACGACAGTGCTTAGCCCCCAGCCTTTGGCTTCTTCTCGCTAGATGCTGCGTCCATAGCATTTGTTAGATTTGTCCTTGCGTTGGAATTATTTCGTGGAAACTACAATAGCATTTAGTCTTATTTTTGATTCCGCCTTTTCCGACTATAAATACTTGTGTTATCTCGGTTTCATTTCGGCAATCTTGCTGTCACTTTGTGATCCACAAATGGCCGCCATCATGGTCTCAGATTTTCCATAATGCCGAAACATTTACTTTGCGGTGCCTGTTCCAAGTTTGTCGGAAGTCGAGCAAACGCACTCACATGTGTTATGTTTCACGTTAGATCCCATAGTTCATGCATTGGATTATCGGTTGAGCATTTTCGGCGCTTTCGTACAATCCAACTGGATTTCGCTCAGCTTTTATGTAAGAATTGCCGAAACGAGATATAGCCGGAGAAGGTAGAGCAGAATCGCAAACCGTCTTGTAGGGTGAATCATTCCGTTGAGGGCAGCACCGTATGTTTGGCCTAACAAGCTAACCCGCATCGCCTCCGGGTTTCAGATAAGCTTTCCTGCTCGTCCCATGCGAACTCAGCGGCACAAAATTGCGTTTTTGCGAGCAGCCCAGCTGCACCAGAGGCGAATATTTCACCCGTGTTGTATTCTACGAGCATCCATGCCAGTGTCTGAAGGGCTGTGTTCTTAAGATATATGGATAGCACAGGGGAAGAAAAGGTTGGAAATTGAAACGATTTCAGCCACTGCAACTTGACAGACCACACCACGTGAAGCGCGAGAAAATCCTCGTCCTGCAAGGTCAACTTTGGCCGACCATAGGCTTTTTTAATTCCGTGCTGTTCCACGCGCCTGAGTCCAGTGACTCAACTATCCAGATGTGCTACCATTATGACTTCGAGTTTTTACACAGCCCATTGATTGATAGTACCACAAGCAGCTACTCCTGCATGGCGACCGAAATCCTGTTCCGTTGAAGCTAGGTGTCATTAGGGCAATGGAGCGAATGCTCGGTATGCAGTGCAGCTTGGTAGGCTTGCCTGACCGAATGCTGCGTAAATTTCTCAGCTGCCGATCGGGGAGACGCTTGGTGCGCTTCCCTGCATAGATCACGGAAGAAGACAGCTTACCGGAAACGACGCAACTATTCTATAACTAGCGATAATCCAGCGTGGAACCACGCCACCTGTAACTTATGGCAATATGATCAGTTTGGGTCTATCGCTGGCCAGCTACAGGAGGCCAAGTGACACTTCGGCCTCCAGTGTAACTGAAAGTAGTGCTACTAAGAAACAGCTGGTGCTCCTCACGCACTTGCAAAGGACGCTCGCCGTTGTCCGTCTGTTCGGAGTTAAGCCCATAATTACCACCTAGCTGAGCTTCCGAAGAGCCTCGGCGACCTCCTTGCTCATTCATATCCCCTGCAATATAATGATGGCTAAACTGGTGGCACAGCGTAGTAGCGTATCCAGTTCGTGGTAGAATGTGTCCTTGGCAGCGTCTGAGCTATAGTCGGTGTGATCATAAGCGTGAAGCGCACCAAGCGCCCTCATTGACGACTGAGAAATTATCTCAGTTCCCGGTCAGGTAAGCCTACCAGCATGTCAACTTTCCGGTATTTTGCTCTCACGTCTTAATGACACTGAGTTTCAGTGGAATGGGATTCTCGACCACCATGCACAACCTGAGTGCCGCTGTTCTTTGCGACACTACCAATCCTCACCCCCTGCACCAGTCACAAGATATCCGAGAGGTCGATGAACTTGTTGGAATCCAGAAAAAACCTACCTTCTGACTCTGAGCACAATGGGACCAGACGGACTATTAGGCGCGAACAAAAGCGGAGCCTGCATGCTGACATGGAAGCTTAGTGGACCAGTTAGGCTCAGGAAATGGAGGAAGGAGCTGTACGCAGTTATCGCAAGTTCTTCCAAATGATCCGCGCCACTGGTCCCAGAAAATCAGATGTCATCAACACAAGCAGACGAGGTTTTGGCGCCCCAGTTCATTTGAAGGTGTGCCGGCTGGCTCGTCGGGGGGAATACTTTCAAGTACACTCCACTTGACCCCTGTTTCCAGACCCCTTTCCATTCAGGTGGTGCAGGCTGAATCATGGCTGGTTTGTTTAGATGGTCCATTGGAGGCTGAGGCCCGACACGCGATCACAACCCTGTATCGCTTTCGAGCTGCTGATTCTCTGCAAAGCACTGCACACCTTGTTCGAACATGTCTGCAAGGAATAGACCGTCCCAGTTAATTGGAATGGATCCATTATAGTAGTAATATACGAAATGGTTAGTGATTTACTCTTATACTTAACCTACTGCCTTCACTGACCGTTGGAATTGAGCGTTCTTATCAGTAGTCAATCCAACTCGGAACAATTAGTTTCTAATGATGAGTTTTACCGAAAACAATTCTTCGTTCGGTACTTGCCTCACTTTGCCTCATTCTACCTAGACGGCCATCTTAATCCTGTCTTTGGTTTTCGCAGCGGTCGAGGATGCATCGATTAGGTCTTCACGCTGCGTCAAATTCTTGAACATCGACATGTCCATCGAAGACCAACAATAATGGTATTTTTGGACACCCGTGCCGCCTTTGACTCCATAGACAAAACATCTCTTTGGAACTGTCTGCTAGTTAACGGTGTACACGACAAATTTGTCGCAATGCTGAATGAATTCTATCGTCACACTTCAGGCAAGGTTACAGCTTATGGCTTTCTTCGTCTTTTGCTGTTACCAGCGGAGTACGCCAAATCTGTCTTATCTCGCCATTCTTATTCAACTTTGTCATCAATAATTTCGATCGCACTCTGGAAAGAGACAAGAGCTGCGGCATTGAGCTCCTCCCTGGCGACAGAGTCTCGGACATGCATTCTACTGATGATGTCGCTTGCTGGGGACGACCCATAGGCCATCCAAAACATTTTGAGCGGCTTAATGATCGAGACAACTAAATATGCTTTGTATTTTGCCCCATCCATGTGTAAAGCCCTGCTCCAAGATTGGCAAGTATCGGTGCCAACACTCTCAATTACGGGTGATTACCTGGAGCAAATGGATCGCTTCATTTATCTCGGAACTGGTTTCACGGCGGGTGGCGGTGTTGAAGTTGAGGCGTCTACTCGAATCGCTAAATCGCACCTGGCGTTCACTAACCTGAGACATTTGTAGCGCCGCTGCGACGTCAGTCCAAGGCTCAAAACAGAGTATACTGTGCCACTGTCCGTGCGGTTCTGCTGTACGGCTGCGAGATCTGGCCTGTTCGCGCAGAAGATTTGAAACGATTATCATCTTTCGATAACCGCTGCTTGCGACCGATCACTCGGGTGTGGTGGCAACACCATGTAAGCAACTCGGAACTTAGAAGTCGAGTACTCGGAGCGAACATTCTCAGTCTCCAGAGCATTTCTCTCGAACACCTTTTACGTTGGCTCGGTCATGCTCTGCGCATGCCATGCATGGCGTATGGGGAAAAGACACCAGGGCGGACAACTGATGACTTGGGAAAGGAACATCAAGCATGCCACCTCACGTTTGTCTTCCGCAGGATCTATCCGTCTTCCAGTTTGGGGACCACGTGATGGGGACTCCAAATGGTTGGAAGTTTTTGTGGCTATTGCTCGTAAGGGAAATCAATGCTGTTCTAACAACCCGCTTTCATCGAAATTACACAAAATTCAAAACGGATTATGTGAACCACTAAAGAAAAGAGAAAACCCGTGTTCCTTTGTTTTTTTTCGGACAATGATTTCTCCATACCACTGCAGTCATGGTTCTGATGGCACATTTGTCCGTTTTTCAGACTTGTGAATAAAAAAAATCCTATCTTTGAGTTCCGCCCACTGAAGCATTAGGACTTAAGCTGCATCTTCACGGTCACAGTAACGTGGTTCGTGACTTCAATCAGACTTTTATCACAAGGTTGTTACGAATGTGCATTTTTTGGACCGATAGCTGTCATTTTCATTGCATGTTTTACCCATGATTACTACCACTTAAAATTGCTTCGAAAGATGGAATCACATCGCTGTGATTCCAACTCGGACATTTGGCACCGACAAATGGGATACTCCTATTCCGTTGCTCATTCGCGTAGTAAAAACCCGTAGTACGCGAATAGAATCGCGTTTGTCCGCTGCGGTTTCTCCTCCTTTGAATGTCTGTTTCTCGGTGTACCAGCATTAGTATCATCTGTTACTTCATAAAAGTCTTTGTTAGTACTCGTCCACTCGTATACATTGGGTGTGAGTACGCCTGGATACGTCGCGTCCGACAGTGTGCACATTTATCAGGTTGATGCATTGTATGTTGACTTTGTGTTGATTCAAACCATGTCGCCAGTGTAGCTGCCTATTCAGGTAAATACACCGTTATACACTCTCATTGTGTTAGCCGATAAGGCAGCGGATAGACCCGAGGTGCATAAGAGAAGACGACGTAGTCGCATTCACGAAGCCCATTTCGTGATTCGGTTTCATGAACGTTGTTTACATATGCATCGGAAGTTTACCGGTAACGGCCATATGATGCGTGGCTTACGGTAACTACACCAAGGTCATCCCATTGACACGTCCACTAATGAGACCAAACAATATGAAACGGCTGTCTAACCATTTTCCAGATGTCTGATGGCTATATGACGTCGGCTTTGTCAAACACCCCTAAGATTCCCTCGAAATCAGCTATTACCCGACAGTTTAACGATAGAAGTGATAACAACTTATGTTTGCACTTAGTCACGATATTCTAACACCCCTACGTTTTGATAGTCTACATATGCTTTAGGCAACGCTGTGCCGCAGCCAATTTGTTCTGCTCACTCTCATATCGCAAACTCAGATAGACCCTAAGGATCTCCGTTTTTTTGCTATTTTACTTATATATTCCTTATTTTCGCTCTCAGGCCGAACGCCAAGCAGTGAACACAGTGATTCAAGGTAGTGCCGCGGAAATATCTAAAATGGCTATGCTCGCGGTGGATACTCTGCTGTCGACCTCGGGCCGTTCTGATCTCTGTCGGTTGGTTCTGCATGAACACGATGAGTTGATTTACCAGGTGAGACTTGAGCATACATCGTCATTTCCTACTGTTTTATCTTCTCCTGTGCGCATTGCACAATTGGCCTATTGTGTGATACTCCTCTCATATCGATTCGACTCGGTTAATTTAGCTATCATCCGGGAACTGAAGTGCTCTAAGCCATCATACCACGTGTAGGTCCAGTGGACGGAAAGCACGCGCGTATAGACAACAGTTTTGATGAGAAAGAATGAGGAACCAAAATGTGTCATGGATTCGTTCGAAGCGTATCGAAAACGGATAGATACTAAGGGATGTTAGCTCACGAACTTGCACTCCACAACCAATTTCGTGCTCGTTTACACTCATTACTTTGCGGATCACATACTTCGCGAGAACGCATCGCCTTTGAATAGGACCTCGCACAATCCAACTGCGCTGACAATGTACAGTGTACGTATGTGACGCTATTCCGCGAGCGTGCCCGACGGAGCAACACAGACATATACCTTTCAATTCCTTATTTTTCTATTCGGGCAGTGGTAGCAGCACTGCGACTCGAACTCATGTTCTTTGGGACGCCAAATGAAGTCCTTGATCATAAACTACCGAGTCTTGATGGTCAACACTTGTCACAACGTTTATTCGCCTGTTTAATAGGTCATTATGAAGCACACGTATTGTCCCTCAGGCGTATAGGCTTCGACTGGTGTCCCTGAATCTTGGATTCGATTTACAATCCTTTTATCTCTACCTGACGAGTATGAACTCGGTCTTGAAGCGCGGTGTTAAGATCGGACAACTCCCGATTCTCAGCTGTTACATTTATAGTTCAAGTGTCCAAACTGATCGAGGTTCATATCATCATCGTGGTACACGTCACGTAGAGGTGGGGAACACCTCAGCTACTGTGCCGCAATGATTAATAGTATTGCGTGGGCAGGATACTGTCAGATTGCCCAGGCCTAGACAGGAGAACGATTAGGGTTCTCAACCAAAGCCTTTGGTTTAAAAACCTTACCGCAAGGTAGCGGATATGGCGTTGGGCCACAATGAGTCCGTTTTAAGGAATAAGGTGCCACCCTCATTCCAACCCCCAACGTGGAGGACCAGGAGGCTGAGTTTGTTTGGCCTCTAATCATTGACCAATCTGGTATGAGTGCCTCTGAAGATGCAAAAGAGCACCACCCAGCATAGCTCAATAGATCGCTGAGGCACACAAACCATCTCACCACGGTAAGGTCCAGCCTCATTGCGATGATCGAGGTTCACTTCAAACTGGATGGTAGTACTAATTGGGATCGCGTGTTGCAATCCATTCCCGCATATGCTTCAAAATGGCCCCTCCGAAAAGCCACAATTAATTGTTGATCGTCGTGACAAATATTATCCGCGGCTCGGTAGCGTAGAAATGTGGACGTCAGACAGAAGGCTCTACGACCCTGATTCGAGTCAAATTAACATGCCTACACACCTGCCTCAAGATTCTATCATGGAGAAGCGTCTCGAATCACTTTTGGGCTGGTTTCGTTTGCCCCATTCAGAAATACGCTGTGCACCATCTTGACTTATTCTATCGGCTGTCTTTTCACACTTTATCGCCAAAGGATCAGCTGTACACCGACACACCGTGCCGACGCTTCGCTGCTACGCGTCCGTGCATGCGCGTAGGCTGGGTATACAGCGAGGTCGTCCGCATCCACGCGGACTCGAACCGGCGACCTCCGGGTCACAATGCAAACACGTGATTCTTTCATCCACCGGCCGACATGTCATTGATAGACCAACTTTAGGCTTCATTTAGCCACACTGTATACTTTGGCAAACAATACACACCGAGGTAGGCGACCTATAGGCATTCGAGGAATCTGACACCACCAGCTTAAAAGTTCCAAGCTTTTAGTTTACTATGAAACACCAACTGGTCTATTTCAGCATTGCTCATTCCATGTCCTCGCCCCAGATACCAGCACTGTAACCCGGCGATCGGTGATCTATGACAGCTGCTATGCTGACGTCGTCTCCTTTTACCACTCACTATATCACCGTAATACTAACTGCACTGCAACTTTCCACACTTTGCCTTTAACCTGGAACGATACGAGCTTTGAGAATTCGATGCTTGTAGTAGTCTTCAGACTAATGGGACCACTTGACACATTGTAAATACCTTGATAAGGGAACCAATCATTTTAGCGAACGAACGGTGCTGATGAGATTTCGTGACTTGTTAGTCCGGTCCTGCAACAATATTTTGCACTTGAGGGTACAAACTGTGTGACGCTTTGTTTCAGCCTGTCTGGTAGCTGTTGTACGGGGCTCGGATCTTATCCCAAGAGTTCCATATCGTCCGCTCACTCAAATCGACCGGTTGGTCACAATAGCTGAGGTGTTTTCCACCTGCAGCTAACGTGTGCAATAACAATGATGGTCGGTCACCAGTTCGCGGCACGCCTCGCTAGGCATGATCAATTGATACACATCACTTGTCGTTGTGGACTCAGAGAATAGCTCATCATAAACTCTCAAGACGATGAAGGTTCCGGTATTGTTATTGTTACTTTGGACGGATGTTCTGCGTCACAGACCTTAGCAGTGAAATGCGCTACTTTCATGTTTTTCTGCATAAACGACTGAGCTCCGCAATTTGGACCTTAACCGTGGTGTGACAGTTTCTGTATCTCCGTGAACCATTGAGCTACGTTAGGTGGCACTTTCCAAGTACCTTTAGAACCACTCATAGCAACTAGGTCACTGGTTAGGAGTGAGACTAAGTCCGTTTCACAACTCTTTTCAGAAGTTAGGGAGACCTCGATGGCCCTCTATCTTTAAAACCTAGCTAGGGGAGACAACAGGTCTGCCGGTTATCAACTCACAGATCAACTAACGTAGAGCACGAGCGCCTCGCACTGTCTCTGAATTTTAAGAGTGCATCTTCCGGTGCTCAATTGTTTGCTGTCGCCCGGCTCAAGCCAGATAGTCCCTGGTCAAATTGGCGCGAACCCGCCAACTCTCACCTGCGGCTGGCCGTGGTCCCAGGGGCCTAACATGGTTAGCGGCATCCGATTCCGGATTTGCATGTCAATACTGCCTTTATAGAACAGTCATAGGACGTCTGCGCCTGCAGATGGACTATAGGTGGCTTGCGCGACACCACCCACACACCCCATATACAGTGCAAACACGAATAAGACCAGGAGGTATGTGGATTGGAGCTGCGTTTCATCAACGGAGCCGGCCCACACTCTTTCAACATGCACAGCAGCAGCATTCTCGTCTGCCTAGTTGGGGAACCATTCGTGCCAGACGTACACGAAGCGGCAGCTTGGTCGTAGCCGGTCGTAAAACACATGTGCATTATTCTAAATATGCAAACCATGTGTGTGACAGGCGTCAAGCAGATCCCAACGGGTCTCTACAATCACACTCCCGATCTGGACTTGCTTCCCACTGCCTTGTGGGTAAGGCTATTGAGCCAGAGGCTAAAGATAGGGCACCTTAAACAAAACCGCGTCACCTGGCGTCCGCCGAATTCTTCAATGAACTGGGCCCAAATTGACCATGGTGCCATCAGCTATAGATGGTGCACATCAGTCCAAGGATGTCGGTCAATTTGGACCACATGCTCTAGTGCGATCACGCATGACACACTCTCTCCCCGCTGTAAAGAAACGTCTGTCTTCTAACCTTCTTACTTGTAACTTGAACTCGCATTCTGCAGTTCAACAATATCATGGCGAACTGGCCCACCATTTGCCAATGATGAATGAGATTGGCGAGGCGAACGCTGCTTGGGATCGTCTCATGTGTGCCATGAAAAACGTTTTGACGCGTACTTTGCACCCAACTAGAGACGTCGTGACTGGGAATGGATCTGTGAGGCATTGATCAGTTTGATCGAAACATGCAAATATGTGCTACTTGGTACTGATTTTCTGCGTGTCTGTAACATTCTGAACTGACATCTGACAAGGAGTCTTTTCTAATCGACCGGGAACCTTGGTGAGTGGCAAGGGCACGTGAGCTGGAAAAAGCCATTGTTATTGGGTACAGCTGTGTGCTGTCCTAGCTCATCCGGAACTTGACTCCGAGGGAGCCATCAGTTAGTAAGCTTAGCTTTGAAAGTGGGTCATTTATTCCGTTCTCAGCAGCTCCGACTATCCCTTTGGAGGAAACATTTTGAAGAGCAGTTCAGCAGGCCTGTTGCGACACTGCCGCTTGCTGAGTTACCTGATCTGGTTTGTGAGCTTGATGTCACATCTGCCGCTTCGGAAGAGATTCGATATGAGCTCGCTCTGTTGAAACGAAACAATGTTTCAGGACCCGACTGTCTTTTCTGAAAGCTGGAGGTGACTCTTTGTTGACTGTATTTGTCTCTCTATTTAGAACTATTTGTGACACTGAAGCGGTGCCCTCAGACTGGCGACTGCCAAGTATCGTGCCCATTTTCAAGAAGCGTCCGCATAGTTTGTGCGGAAATCATCGAGACATCAGCCTTATTTTCATTGTTTCCAAATTTCTAACGGGTGTCCTTCTTCGACTCATGAGAGCCGAACTATTGAAATCCAGACTGATTTCCACCCTGGTCCTGGCTGCATTGACCACATGTTTGCCCTTCGCCAAGTGTTAGAGTAGAGACATACTTACAGACGACCGACTTGAAAGTCGCTTTCAACCCTATTGACCGCGCTAGTTTGTGGCACTGACTGTCCATGAAGGGCGTCCGGGCTAAATTCTTTTCCATTATGCAGTCTCTACCTTGACTCCCGAGGCCGGATACGAGTCTACGTGAAGCTGTCCCCTGAGTTCTCCACGAAAAGTGGCGTTCGCCAGGGTTTTCCTATATCCCTTTTCTTCTTTAACTATGTGACCGAAATGATCATGAATTACTCTATTCTTCCAGACGCTTCTGAAGTGGAAGTTCTACGTGGTGACCAGCTGACAAACATTGAGTATGCAGACGACATAGCTCTCTTTGGGTCTCAGTCAGTAGTTATGTAAACATTACCTAACAGACTTACGAATAGCACTGCACGCTTCGGCGTTGTGCTTCACTCGAATGTTTACCGGATCGTAACCGCTTACGTTGGCTAGACCATATCTTTTGTACGCCGGTTATCGGCTCCCTCGGCGTGCATTATGCGCCGTGGCTGCATCAAGCTGGGTGAAACCGCGAGGCGGCCAGTCCATGAGGTAGCATAATGGCATAAAGTACCTGACCGAGAGACTTGGTCAGGCGGATGCGTGCCGTCTTCCTGGATGGGGCCCTGGAATCATCCACATCAGTGCTTGGAGACTCTCTCTGACATAGCGCAGTTGGCGTCCCTTCATTCGGCTTCTTGCATCCAGTTGTTAATGTTCATTCCGCCCTGATCGGTTTAACGCATCGCCTTTTTGATTTTATTTTCTTTACATTCTGTTTGTATTCAACCCGTTACCGTTGCCATTTATTCTCATCCCTGTGATGTAGGCCGTTGCAACTGGGTCCACTGCACTTCGGTGCCTGGACCGTAGTTGTTCAACTGAAATAAATTGACAGATTCTACTTTCTAGTTGCTTAAATCGGGTGTTTTGCTCGACGGTATGCCGGATCACTGGGTACTCCAGAGTACAATATGCTTGTGTCTTCGCTAAACGGACGATGACAACATGAAGGCTGCTTGTTTTTTCGTAGTTTTCAGTGTTCCATAGGGTGTTCCACATCCAGTGACCACGCTTAGTTACCAAAGGATTTAATCCAACTCTCTGTCTTGAACTTCTTCACTGCTTAAAGATTTAGTTGCAAGGTGCTTACCAACCATCCATCCTTTCATACACTTATTTGTATGTGTGGGAACCATGTGAACAAGATCGATCGGCTCAATCTCATTGGTTGGCTTGCTGACTCATTCCTACCTTACTATTGGTCGTGTGTCTGTCGTTTGACTCTCCGTTTAACTAGGGATTGCGACTCGGTTGTACTTGGTTATTTTTACAAGATACATTTTTACCTGTTCTGCGGCTTTCTTGATACAGCAGTATGTTTATTTGATCATGTGAAATCCTCATCTGGGTGTTGTGTTATTCCCCTTTAGGTTTTTGTCTAAATTTCACTCCCCTTCCTCAGCATGTATTTCCGTTAGCTTTTCTTCACCTAATCTGCTACGCATGGGAAGAGTGCCACACAAGCATTCTGGCACTGTGTCTACCATGTGCACCGGACCGAACACCAAATGAATAGTCCAACAGATTTTGGAATCGATTCAGTTCATTTCCGGCTTGTGCTCCAGGGTTTTTCGAAAATCACAAAGTAGTCTAAACCAGATGTTGTTGTCTTCTACGAAACTGGGATCATCCTTCTGGTTAGATTGATAAGAGTCCGTTGGAGCAGTTTTTGTGTAAATCCTTTCTGTTTTTGTACACCTTCCTTGTACCACGAGTTGCTGTTCACAGAAATTGCCGCGTGAGAATGCTCCTGACTATCACCGCAAGTTTATGCCTCACTAGTATGTGTTTTGGATTTCTAAGATGAGCCCTTCGGTAGTATCGAGAATGCTGTACTACGCCAATCATCGATGGCCAGTTCGCATAAATTTACCGCGTATCACCATCATGCTTGTTTATTGTACCACCGTATTGTTGATCTGTGCATCATATTGACGCCTCCTGACCATAATAAGCAATGGAGGGAGCTAATCCGTGACACACATTTGCCCTCTTGTTTTGCATCTGAATGCGCCGATAGATCAGCTCTTTTTCATTGGAATATTTCCACGTCGCACCACTCTGCATAGAGTCCTAAGTATGTCGTGCTACGTCTCACTTTCTGTGCAGATCAGCCATGCCGCCGCTGGACCCGAATTGGGTTCCCTTATTCGACATACAATGGCCAAAATGAGCAAAAGCTGCGGTCTGTCCGTTTCGCTTCCCGTGAAATTACGCGCTGGCCCGAACTGGTGCGATTTGGAGGAAGTGTTCTGGCATTAGCATTGGCTGATATTCTTCCAGATCTCCAATTTTCTGGACTAATTTTATCCCAATGGACAATGTGCATACCTATGATTCTCTTATGATTTTCTCATTTACTTATTTTTTTAAGTTCAATGTGCGCGGGCATACTCTTCATGCACCCACCAGATCGTAATGACTTTAAATATATTCTTATGGTGATTTATCGTCTGTGGCTTACTTCTCAGTAATATTCTCTGGGCTTTTTACCCTTTCGGCTAAAATAATGATATTCTCTATTATGCGTCTTCGCTTGCGGTAAATTACTCTCTCGAGATAGAGTACATACATGACACGATTGCTGCGTTTATCTCTGCTAGCTGACGTGTAGATATGATGAATGGTGTACCATACGGATGATTAATTGCTGCTACTTCTTGTGTTCCCATTTACGTTTACCATCTTGTCTTCCATGCGGGGTGAATAGAGGTATTTCGATGCGCTACGGTTGCATGAAAGCACTTCCTTATCACATTGTCTGTAATCTCTGGATGGTGTTTGGGGCTTACAACAACATGTGTTTACTGCACGACTAAACTTTTCCAAACTACGGCAGGGAGACGAAGAATGTGTCAACGAATTTATAAATCGCATACAACAGTCCCTGCCTGATTGCCGTTATAATGCGATTCCGTCCATGAAATTTGAAGAGTTCATGGCTATCCAGTGTCTTCTAGTTGGCATTCGCGATAACAAGACCTGATAACGCCTACTTTCGGAAGATGGGAGAAAGCTTACTTCAGAAGCCGAATGCACATTAGTGAGGCAAAGAGAAAAAATGTGGTTCAACAATTACTTCACTAACAACATGATCATCCGTCAGATGTAATCCACGCGGTCAAGCCTCGATTATCACCGCATAACAAACGCTCCTTTATGTGCTACAGGTGTGGCAAAAGACATGAAAAAGTAACTGATTGTAGACACAAACAAGCACAGCTCACCTGGGGTTGATAATATACACACGAAATCGCTAGCGGCAGTAGGAGCGAGTTTAGCTGAACCTTTAGCTCCATTCTTCCAACACTGTTTTGAAGAAATGTACGTACAGCATGATTACTCCTATTCACAAGCGAGGTAGTCGTTCCAATTCAGCCAATTACCGTCCCATAATCTTACTACCGGTTCTTTCAAAGGTCATGGAAGAGATTATTTCTGATGCGCTAACGGCCTACCTGGAAGAATTTAACTACCTCGCACCGGAACAACATGGCTTCCGACGAAATCAAGCGTACTTTGCAAATATACTACTAGCACTATCCAGCTGAACTGAAGCAGTAGACTCTGGCACAGTAGTTGATGTAGTCTTTCTCGACTTCTCAAAGGCGTTCGACCGGTTAGACCACAACATTCTTCAGACCTTTGGTATTGGTGATCCTTTCATAGGATGGACCAGAAGCTTTCTTATCCACCGACGCCTGGAAGTACGTGTGTGTGAATCGTTGTCAGATCCCATCCGAGTTGAATGCGGAGTACCACAGGGGTCGGTACATGGATCGCGATTATTTTTGACATATATTAACGATATCATACGCCTCATAAGCTCGAACTGTCTGTTTTATGCCGATGACATCAATGTGTGAAGGGCGATAAATACACCAGACGATATCACAGTACTTCAAGCTGATCTGTTTAGGGTGTACGCGTGGTCAATGCAATGTGGACAAATGTAGAGTGCTTCACCTACAGTACAAGTTGGTGCACTCCTACAAACTCGGCAACCAGGAGCTTCAAACATCTGGCGAGAGGGATCTGGGAGTTTTGGTCCAGACCGATCTTGGATCTTCGAAGCAGGCTGCAACGGCGTCTAGTGGGGACATCTAACATGTGGACATTCGGCCCTTCGCTTTTTTCACAACTTCTCGGCTCATACGTACGGCCACATGTGGAATACGCAATACAGGTCTGGCAGCCATGGCTGAGGAGAGATCTCACCGCTTTGGAGATACCCCAACGCCGGGCAACCAAGGATGTCAAGGGTCTGTATAATTTGCCGTATGAACAAAGGCTACAATTGCTCGGGGTCTTCAGCGAACAGCATCGGCAATTGCGTGGGGACTAAATTTTATGAGATCCCAATTACACGTACCGCAATTTATTAAAGCTCAGTCACAACGGCGATTTGAGAGACCATCATCTCAAACTGGCAGAGAAGCACTGTCTCTTGGCGTTCGCCGTACGTGGAATGCCCTACCGGAGTCTGTCATATGTGCTCCCACGCTGGCAGTGTTCAAAGCCCGAGTTGACCGTGCATTTATTTCGATGCACCAGCTTAAATGACCCATTACCCATGGATAAACACAAGTGTCGGTAAACAATTTCACTGGCGGTCAAATCATAGACTTCGCTCCACGTTTTTCACCTTCTCTATGTGCACACTAGGAGACACGATTTTTACCAACATCCCATTTGCCGTCACTTCTTATGGATTTACCTCGGGTTTACAGCCTATACTATGTATACTTCAGAGAGTTCACTGGTGTAAACCCAATTTTGCCAACATTTTCTTTATATTTTGAAGTTTCACCATAACCATCCAAGGGACCTATAAGCATTAGCTTTTTTACCCTTACAAAACCATGGTTCCAATCCACTTGCCACAAATGCAACAAGGCCGGACATCTTGCGCATATTTGCTGCTCAACATTGCTTCCACATCGTGTAGGTTACCCTCCACCAAGTACTGTGGACAGTAGAGAATTCCGGTGAGTCCATCCCTTACTTGATTTCACACACTACCACGTCACATGTGCGCGGAATACCACCATACACTGTGGAACTTCAGGTTGAAGGTCAACCTGTGCGCCTTGAAATTGATACGGGAGTCTCGATTACGTTGGTCGTCAATCGTACACTGCCCGACCTGCCGCTGCTCCCGACAGTCTGTTTTACGTTCTTATACTGGTGAATCGCTCGATGTACTGGGGATGTGTGAAGTAAAAGTTACTCGTGGAGCCGACACTTTTACCCTTCCCTTAATTGTTGTCAACACAGGTGGCCCAAACTTACTTGGTAAAAACTGCCTCAAACATATCCCGTAACTACTTCAAACCGTCAAAAAGATGGACCCAATTTCAAACATTCCTTCATTATTGCAAATGTACGCTTGTGTGTTTGATGAAACATCGCCCGGTAAACTACGTAATTTTAAAGTCTCTTTCAATATCAGACCGAACGCCCAGCCGAAATTTTTCAAAGCAAGGAGCTTGCCTTTTGCTATCCGTCCGAAAGTTGAGTTAGAGCTGAAGCGCCTCCAAAAAGATGAAATATTATCGCCAGTACACCACTCATCTTGGGCCAGGCCAATTGTTCCAGTACAAAAGCCTGATGGCACCGTCCGTATCTGTTGTGACTACAAGTTGACTGCTAACCAAGCGGCGACGTCAAAACACTAACCTATTTCGCGGATTGATGACTTGTACGTAACTGGCAGATGAACAGCAGTTTTCCAAGCTTGATTTAAGCGCCGCTTACACCCAAGTAGTGCTGCATGAATCCGCCAGGGTGATGACAACCATCGTGAATTTGTCAGCGTGTGCGTGCTAATCGTACAATCCTGTGCTCTGTGTTAACTTGAACTTGGACATTCTTGCGCCACCTCCGGAAGTACGCTCAATCGATTCGCATCAACGAACTCTATCCAACGGGATCTAACTTTTCCAAGTAAGTCTATAAACACACTTGTACGCCACTACCGACATCTTCGCTAGTTTATCCGCTAGGACAAACATGTGAAACCTTTACATTTTCAATATCTGAGATAGCGTTCGACAGAGCTTCTCTAAGCCTGCCAGACAAGATATAACATAGTACTGTGCACCACTGTTCACTGTAGCGACATTATTTTGTCGTCTCACATTTACGACTTTGTTTTTATGTGCATTATACTTCACAAAGCCTGTGTGCTTTTTGTCCACCCGTTGGCCGAGGACGCACTACTATTAAATCTGCTGACACGACGACAGTTCAGGCTGACCAGGCCGCAACTGAGGCAACCCAAACGGTGTGACCGGCGTGACCTAAAAGTGCATACAAGCAACCTAACAATGGGTCGCAGATGTTTGAACGCCGGAACTCGTTAACAACAAAATCAAGGTCAATCGTAGTACACATAAGTTTACAACAGAGAGGATCTCAGGAGTCACGTGCTCATTCTGTGCCAATACCTACGACGCAACAAACATGAACATCACATGTAAAAGAAAGCACAGCTTACCGAAATATAGTTAGTCTCGCGGCATAAGGCCGATGACCGCGTTCATGAATCTACCGTGGCTCACTTATGGTGAACGCCGGTCATATACGGTTGTTGTCCCCACCATCCAATAGCCATCCAATGTTTAGCGAAATTCGCAAAGTGCTACTGCGCGTGCAGAGACATGCATTTCTCTCCCACAGTGATGAAGACGTGTAGAAGTCCCGGCAGACGAGTGCTTTAGTGTACGGCTCAGCTGAGTGCAGGCGCAACCTGGTGAAGACGCACCGACATAAGGCTTTGTTGGTCATCGAGCGAGGTGCGTACAAACAGCCACAACGTGTTTCCGGCGGTCGTTAGCTGTCAGCTGACTTCACGTTGAGTGCTTAAGGTCATGGCTAAACGTAGGCGTTGGAGCGACCGATGGTTATCTCTGTGTCCCGCTGGCTACGCAGCGAAGTCGGCGTATGCAAAATGGAGCGTGCAACCAAACCTGCGGCGTGCATGTGTGCACGTGATGGCATGTCAGCTGAGGATGAGGCTAAACATTGCAACTCGTGTCAATGTCATTGAATCACTGCCACAGGTACTGCAGCACAAGCAGACAATGCAATATGGATCACGTAACGTGCCGGTTACTCAACGCGCGCCGACTATTCGGCTGTACGGTGAATGCGGATTAAAAGCCGCATTAACTTCATGAAGGTACAAAGCAATGAAAGCAGGAATGCGTCCCGTCACAGCCCGGTATGTGCTTAAACTAGTGAAGAAGTTCGAGCAAACT